GCAACGGGCGTTGACCTTTGGCCGGGAGAGCACCTCTCATGGCCGATGGACACGTGTTACAAGGGCGATGGCTTGGCATGTCCACGCCGCCAGTTGAAAAGTGATTATACCAAGGGTGTAGGAGAAAGCCTGGCCTGACTGCAGGCCTTGCTCCCGCCGGTTGTTGTCCCCAAACCTCTCATTCTCGGGTTAGGAACACTTGATGCTCCGAGGGCGGAGGGCTCGCGGGAAACGGCATAGCCATGGGGAAGGAGTCATAGAATAGCGCGAGTCTGTGCAGAATCCCAAAGGCTGCTAACACTTTGATGAGTAGTGTTGGAAGGTGAAGAGGGAAACCGCTCCCAAACCACGACATGCGGCTTCTATACCATATCGTCCATAATTAGATGCGTATGAATCCACAAAATGTACAAAGGCTTCGCAATGCTCAGTTCGGCTATATGAATACCGCAGAGAAGTCAACTCTAAAGGTTAGCGTAAGCGTGGTTTATTTTGTTATAAAAATGTTCTCTCAGTGACTACAGCCTCACCTCAGCTTTGCCATTGAGCAGTGCATTCGCCACCATAGAAAGATTGCTACTCTGGAATAACAATAGTTTGAATTTGAGCAAGATATTATAGTTCCAAATTTTCTAGCTACCGGCAGTTTAGCAAGTTTGTCAATGATCTGGTTCCCTGAAGAATTGGTGTAGTTCATTATAGAGGAGAAGTCTTTCATGATTTTTTGGAGCTGTTTAAGCAATTGCTGTCTCTTCTCTGGTGATAGTGTTGCAGCTGGCATGAACTTCTGCTGAAAGAGGTCTTTGAAGGATGGAATCAATTGGATTCAGATGAAAAATATTTAAAATACAGCTGATTTCTTGATAGTAGGAATTGAGGTCCGTGTAGATGGGTGAGCAGGAGAGCTCGTGATGCCGGTTTGAGATGATTGGTTTAACAACTCGTTTATTTTCTGTAACGATTGCATGTTCGAAGCATTAACTAAGTTATGTGTGCGTTCAGAATGAATACCTTCGCAAGAGGACCATTAGTGACGTTCATGTGCTTTTTGAGTATGTTGATTATCTGCGAAGGCGACATGCCTGACGTAACCTGGAATATTCATAGAAGACTGCTGAGTAACCTTGATTACGACGTTTGCAGGCACAACAAGTATTGATAAGAGCGGTAACTGGAATGTGAAGGTGCTACAGTGCTCCTATCAGTTCACTCCTTCGAATCTCGCTTAGGCGGCACAACATTTCTATTACAACGAGATACTATTTCAATTAATTGGAGTTTGTCCAGTCCAGTGCCATGAAAAAATGAAAAAGAAATCCTATGGGATTATCAATCAACAGGTAGCCACACGTTCATCGACTGAATCAAGACAAATCCAAGAGCATGCTCCAAGTTAGTTGCCAGGATGCGAGAGCACATTGACATCCGCATTACCGTTTGCGTCCGAGAAGTAGGTCCAAGTAATTCATATACAAGGGATTCATAGTGGTAGCTGATAGTTGGTACGTTATAGCTGTGATTAGTGACAACAAAGAATAAAGCGCCAAGCGGCCCCGCATTTCATTGACAGAAAACAGTATCATTTGTTGAGGCCGTGGTCACTGCGCTGTAGGTCTACACTCAACGAGCTTCTTTTTCTCGGAACTTTTTCTCGAGAAAGGTAAATGGCACATCACTTTCTCACCTGTCCTTGTCCACCAAGCAGAGCTTTCGCGACAACTGAAAGGTTGCTGAGCTGAAATCAAAGACCTGTTGAATTCACAGGAAAAGTGCTTCGCAAATATTTTGTTACCGGCAAATTGGCGAGTCTGTGAAGAATCTGGTCTGCCAGAAGAATTGGTGTAGTTCAGTATGCCGGGATGATCTTTCATGATTTTTCGGAGCTGCTTGAGCAATTGCTGTTCCTCCTCTGGAGATAATGATGCCGCTGATGGTGACGCAGGAAGTCTCGTGATTTCGGTTTGTGATGACATGTTTAACAGCTCGTGCAATTTCTGTAACAATTGCACATTTGAAGCACTAACTAAGTAATGTGTCTGTTCGGAAGGAATACCTTTGCAAGAGGACCATTAGTGACGTTCATGTGCTTTTTGAGTGCGTCGATTATTTGCGAAGGCGACATGCCTGACGTGACCTGAAATATTCATGGAATATCGCCGTAGCAACTTTATTAGGACGTTTAAAAACATAACAAAGTTCGATAAAAACTGTAGAACAAATATTAAACGATATAGTATACTATTAGGATTCTGCATCGCTCCTAAACGGCTTATACTATTGCATCTCGCTTAGACAACACAATTTTCCATAACTGCGGGTGAGCTACTGGTCTGATTGCTTACATTACCTTGTCCGGTTCACTAGAACCATGATCTTGAAACGTCTCTGAAATTCCGTATTAACAAGAATTAAATGTTCAAGGTTCATGAACCACCAGTTCAGCAACTAAATTAAAGCAAATCGTAGGCCATCTTCCAAGATTAGTTGCCACGACACGTGGAGAAGGGAACCTTATTGTCTCACCTCTCCTTGTCCACCAAGCAGAGCTTTTGCGACAACTGAAAGGTTGCTGAGCTGAAATCAAAGACCTGTTGAATTCACAGGAAAAGTGCTTGCAAATGTTTGATAC